AGGGTAGTTAAAATAATGATATGCAAATATCAAATAAAGTTATGCATAGGGACATTCTTGGTCTATATAGACATTTATGGAAGCTATTTTCTCCATATAACCTTGGGGATGGACATAGATACTAGACTAAAACTAAAGAAGAAACAGTTAAATTAATTCTTCACTTTACTTTCACTTCCAAATTGGTTCTCTTGGTCATGGTATTAGGACAAAGTATGGTTCTTTTGCATGTGCATAGTTCTCAACCTCTGGTTGAGCTATATCTTTCTAGTTTTCTAGCCAGAAAGGAAAGGAGGAAGAAAGAAGAGAAGGTAGGAAGAAAGAAGGAAGGAGGGAAGGAAATAATACCTCTTCATTTCCTAGAAGTAGTTACTACTACATTTGGAGACATAGGAAAAGAACAAAATCAATAAAACAAAAATATAGCTGGCCCAAGCATGTACAGCCTATTCCCAGCCTCTGCTATGGAAATACTTGAGCTCTATAACTGCACAGTTTGTACTCTGTCCCCATAATCAGTCTGTTTCTCCTCCTCTTCTGGATAAACACATAGAAACAAAATTATCATCCAGCAAAGGTTGTGGCAATATGTGTGCAAAGTTGACCGTGGAAAACCAATAAGAAAGACATAAAATAAAAATAAAAATAAAAAAATAAATCCCAAACAGATCTTTTTATTTAACATAAGGCCAAAGAAGCTATCAGGCGTTGCTGAATACTGTCCACTAACTGTACAAAATATTGACTGCATGCCTCGCAAACACCAAAATATCCGCTGGAATGCCATAGAAATAAATAACTTCTGCTATAAACACATGAAAACATATCAAACTGTTATCTCTTTAAACATATTGTAAATAAAAAAATTACCAGTACTTCTACACAATAAATATTAAGAAACCATTGACATAGTTGAAATGCACTCATATAAATTAACAACTTTAATTACATTAGCCAAACAGACATTGGTTAAAGAACTGCATGTAGTATGCAAAAAAAAAAAATAATAATAATAAAGGACCCACAAAATAAAAATAAAAACAAACAAACAAACAACATCAACCACAGAACATAAAGTTTTAAAACAAAACAGGCTTCAGATTATCTTGGCTTTCATAATTATATTTTTCTTTTAAAGAAAAATATCAACCCATTGTCAATGCACTGTTTTTCAAAGCATTTAAATAGAGGGTAAAACCCATTGAAAATTAATACAGAAGAAATGATTCACTTTATGCATAAAAATAAATAATAATATAGCTGAGACATGTGGTTTGCTTCTGCTCTTGAAGATGTGAACAGCTTCTTAGCATTCATTTTCTCTGACCCATACAATAGCTTCTCCGTAATACAGGGTTTAATTTAAACACATACAATGTCCACCCCCAAACCTTCTGCCCACATCTACAAGTTTCATTTATTATGTAGGTTTTCAGGGTGACTAAGTTTTTCTCTACATTGAAAAGGGAAGTTGCCAAAAGGCCCACAGGAACTCATATTTTCAAGGGAACATGATAATTTGAATCTATGTTTAATACAACTGAGACATATTTGCTCTGTTTTTTTTTTTTAGAGTCACCTCCTAAAGTTCAATCCCACAAGAGCAGAAAAAAAATTTTACTTGCTCTACCTTTGAGGAGAATGCAAGGACTTGCCTTGAAAATGGAGTGTGGAATCAATCTTAAACATATGTGAAATTTGTTGGTCTTCTGAGACAAGAAAATCACAACTCGGTGTGCTAGAATTCACTTTACTTTTTTGGAAAAAAAAAAAAAAGAAAATTTCAATTCAGTCTACAAAATACTTATTTTTTCTTTAAGAGATATACTGAGGGCAAGTGCTTTTCCAAGCTTCTAGAATTAGTGTGGGCAAATATTTAGGAGCCTAGATATCAGCCCTAGAGAAGGAGTAGAGAGAGAGTGGGATACAACACGGCCACCCTTCTATAAGGTAAAACCTACTGCCAAGAACCCAATATGACAGGAATTAAAAGCTGATCATTTTGGCCCCATATAGCTATGTAAAGAGCAGTGGTTCACAGGGCTTTGTATTATTAAAGATGGTAGCAATTCATAATTCTAACACAAGGCCATAAAAATTTAATGAAACAGGGTTAAAGTTTGTGGGTGAGTGACCAACCTATCATTTAATTTCTAATCCAAATATCGTCATATGGAATTTCATTTCACTCAGTTTTATATTGCCATGGCACTAATCAAACCCCTCTTACCACTAGGAGAGAAAGGAAGGACTTAACGAAATGGCAAATTCATTTGAGATGAATGGGAACCCCACATGGCTGCCTTTGCAAGTGCCTGTTCTTTCCTGTGGCCTTGACCATCTCTTAGCACAAGGTGAAGTAGGACTTATTTCCTCACACTGTGACCACAGGTTCCAGTATTAGTTCCAGTACCAAAGAAGCAACAGTTTGAGGCCCTCCAAGATTTTCATAGAAACTGGTGAAGTTGAAATGCCATCTACTTCTTTCCCTAACTTCCCTCCCCATACCTACCTTCCCCACATGCATGATATCTAAGGTCAAAGGACCTTAATTAGAATCCACTAATGAGTTTCTCATGCAGTACATGTTCTTTCCTGCATAAGACAGGCAGGCCCCTAGAATGTGGTAAGTATATTTGCCCCAGTAATGAGGCAAATTTTCCTACACATAGCCTAATTTTATACTATACTGACAGTATAATTTTTAAGACAAGATAAACCACCTTTTGTAATTTTGGTTTCTCACTGATATTTCATTTTCCTAAAACTCCTTTTTAAAAAATCTATGGATTGACATAAGGCTAAAAGCTTCAACATCTTACAAAATACTGATGAATGTAATTTTTCTCAATTAGAAATTTTTCCGATTTTTGCAAATGTTTGCAGTTTCAAACAAGTCAGTAAAAAGAAGGCTCTGTATTTTCATCAGCACATAAATGAATGACTTATTAGCTGTTCTAGGCAAGCAAAATACTGAATAAATTAGAAACTTAGCTTTAAGCAATACTTTGAGATTTATAAGACAAATATTTTTCCCTTTTTGCATCTGAATTGATACATACAAACTTACATATCGAGTTTTGAATGCAAATTAAACATTAGAAATTCATACTGCTGCCCTTATCCCAACTTTTTTTTTAACCCTTCTCTTCCTTAATTCCCATTCTCTTATACATCTTCCTCCAAATTACTTAAGTACTAACATTACTTAATCTAGTGGGTGCAAGTAATATCTCTCAAAATCAGGCCTACACCATTAAAAAAAAAATGTACTCAACTCTTTTATTCTGGTCTACAGATTAATTTTTTTTCCGAAAAAGTTTCTGATTTAAGATTGATTCCAATAGATAATAAATAGAAATTGAAAAAAAATTAACCTACAGTTTTGATTAATATCCTGTTTTCCCCACAGGGGATAACTTGTAGGGGTGGTGGGGACAAGAAAGAGGAGGGAGTTTGATCCCTGTACATTTAAAGAGGGCCTTGCTGAATATTCACTAGAATTTCCAGACTTTTTCCCAACCAAATTTTTGAAATGTGCCCACCTAGTTCAGAGTAAAAGCAAAAACTATAGCCTATCCTTCTTAAAAATACTGTGTTTTGCACACAAACATTCATTGCTTTAAGAACATTAAAAAATGACAGCCTGAAGTGCTTAAAATGTGTATGGACATGGTACAATACATGTATATATACATACAGATATGCGTATGCACAAGCAATGTATATATACACATACAAGCATGTAGTCTCATGAATTTGAACTTGATATCCAACAGTGTACAACTACTGCACATCCAGTATGAAATGTCCTGTTTCATGGATGTAAAAGGAGTCAAAAACCAAACTTCTCAGGGCTTTTAAGCCTGAACACAATCCCCCCTTACTCAACCTTGAATCTCAACCCCTGACTCATTGATGGTAAATGATACCAACCACAGACAGACTGTTTAAAGGCTCACACAAATGTCTTTGGTGTATGTGTCTATTTTTTAAGGTACAAAATAATAATAATAATTATAATTATAATAATAAAAATAGCTATTTTGTGTGCTGTAGCAGTTCTTTTATAGCTCACATTAAGTGCAGCTCTTAAACCCCACCCCCACCCCCACCCAAAGAAAATACTTGTTAAATAAGGATTAGACAGGTCAAACACCATTGTAGTGCAAATAGTAAACGATAAAAAAAAAAAAAACAACATTTACAAAATATAGAAATGTTTGGATCCAACAGATGGACAAACATATTCCTTTCAAGTATCTCTCCTTGAAGAAAATAAAAATTAATCAGGTTACTTCCGATACAAAAAAGTCTCTCTTTTTGTTCTCTCTCAGGTAAACAGTTTCAAACCTATTAGGTTGCATAGTTCTAAGATCATAAGCACCTTAACGAAATGTAACTTGGTATTCTTTTTTCCTTGATCTTTCATTCTTCCCATTCTTGTTCTCAATTTTTTTTTAATGTTGGTTTTTTTGTTTTGTTTTGTCTTGTTGCGAAAGTGGTGCAGAAAAAGAAAGTGTGACCACCTGCACACGCCTGTTCTTTTACTGGTATGTGTGTGTATGTGGTGTGTGGAAACGCCTGTGTGGGCATGTCTGGTGACATATGCAGACATAGTGTCACACAGACATGCATGTGACCTGGGTAGCTGGGTGGGACTGGCCCTTCCAAATTCATGGCTTTCTAGACATAATTTGGGTCATGCTAGTCCACAGTTACTGCAGACTAGACAAGGTGACTTGGAGCTCACAGGGGAACCGCAAGGGGGGGAGAGGACAATACCCGGTTAAACAACTGAGGTCATCAGTTTGATTTCGGAAGAAATGAAGGGTACACCCTTCTCCCTTTCCCTCCCAATTCCTGTCTCCTTCACTGCTTCATCTCTGAGCCCTGGCTAAGGATTTTTTTTTCCCCCACATCCTCCTTCATCTATTTCATCATGTTTTTAGTTTTTGTCTCTTTTTTTTGTTCATTTTTTTTGTTTTGTTTTTTTGTTTGTTTTTTAATTTCTATTTTTTTCTGGTTGTTAAACTCAGAAACCTTAATTTTTTTTTTCTTCATTTTGCCACTGTCTTCTCTGGACAACCCTAGTTCCCTTTCCCCCCGCCCCAGGTGGGTGACTCTAGGAACACCCACACTCCTCCACGATCATGTTCTGAATGTCCTTTTTGATGATGTTTTGCCCATCGTCATAGTACAGCATGGACATGGGTCTCAGCTTGGTGGGCACACAGCACGACTTGAGGTTGGCAAAGGGGCTGTGACCCCGCATGCGGTAGTGGTTGATGACTGTTGAGTGAAAGGACAGTGAGGACCCCGACGTGCCTGCTATGTGGCTCGGGCACTCACCCTCGCAGTAGTTGGCATGATAGCCCGAGGGAGCGATGATCCAGTCATTCCAGCCAATGTCCTTGAAGCTGACAAAGAACTGTTTCTTACAGCAGATGTTGACCTTGCCGTCACACTCCAGGCCCCGCCTTCGCCGGCGGTGAGGGTGGTCTTCTGACTGCCGAGCCTGCAGCATGAGGAAAGGTCTGTGTGACTGCTCCTTCTCCTCATCTGCTGCTCCTTCACCTCCATCCTTCTTCTTCCCATCCCCGTCCTCTTCTTTCTTCTTCTTCTTGCCCAGGAGCACCAGGCTGGCGCCGCTCTCCTGGCACTGCTCACAGGCAATCCGCACATCCAGGGAGCTCTTGCCCTGGTCCAGCAATCGCTGGATGCTGCTGGAGACAGGAAAGATGTGCCAGGTGCTCTTCCGAGCATCCACCACCTTCTCAGATAGCAACAGTTCACTCCTCTCCCCCTTTAAGCCTACTTCCTCGGCCTCATCCCCCGTGTCCAAGCTGCCCTGTGGGTGCTTCTGCTGCTGAAAGAGGCGGATGGTGACTTTGCTCCTGGTTCTGTTGGCCTTGGGGACTTTCAGGAAGAGCCAGATTTCAGCACGCTCCACCACAGACAGGTCGCTGCCTTCCTTGGAAATCTCAAAGTGCAGAGTCTTCCTGGCTGTGCCTGAAGACAAAACGCAGCACAAGATAGAACAGGAACAGTTGTTAATTCCAGTGTTTGCATCTACTCACTATTTTTCTAGGCAAGCAAGAGTCTTCTGCTACAGACGGTCTAACACAGGGGAGAGCAAATTGGACAGCCCATTGGCCAAATCCATTTCAGAGAGGCCCTCAAGATTGGTTTTTATATTCTTAAATGGTTGAAGAAAACTCATATTTTGTAACATGGGAAATTCAAACTTTAGTGCCCATAAATAAAGTTCTATGGCAACAGCTACACTCGTCTCTTTCTAAGTGGCTTAAGGCTACATTTGCACTATAATACAGAATTTAGTAGCTATAAGACTCTGGACCAAAAAACCTAAAATATTTGCCCTCTGGCCTCTGATGGAAAAAAAAAAAGTTTGCAATCCCTTGGTTTAGAATGAAGAGGGCCTGCTGTCCTGTGTCTATTGCCTCACTGCTTAATCTCAATTTCATCTTCTATGAAATGGGAATGACATAATGATATTTGACCTATCATCTCACAGGCTCAGAAGGACCAAGTAGGAGAACAAAATGAAAACACTCCACACACTCTAGAAAGCTATGGGAATATTCTCACATGAACAGGCTAACACCCTCTCCCCATCCCACAGTGTGGCTCAGTGTGGGCAGCACTTTGAGCTGGCCTCCCCTTCCCTGTCACCACCCTGCCCTCAATCCTCTATCACTTCAATCCTGGGGTCTTTCACTACAGCAGGCTTTTCTTTAAAGTGACCTCTGTAGGATCCAGTCAGGCTCTTCCTAGTCCTTTTTCCATTAAGCTGCTAAAGGATTGTTCCCCAAAGATGGATCTGATCACACCACCCCCTCTTTTGAGTCCTTTTCTGACTTCCTATAGCTCTCAGCATCCAAAGGCAACTGCCCAGGACTTTGAACTCTGTGTCAGCCTTCAACTCCAGCTCTTACCCAGCACCCTGCAATCAGTGGTCCAGTTTCAAGGTATTTCCTTGAGGGGTGATGAATCCCATGCTGTGGCTCACCTGTAGGCAGTGATACCTGCTGTCCCTGCTGCCTAGATACTGCTGCCCCATCCCCAGCTCACTACCCTGAGTGGCTGATCTTAATAATGTTTCAGTTTTCAGATTGGACTACACTTCCTCAAAAGCTTTCCCTCTCATCTTCTTGGCCACCACCCTCTTGCCAGTCTAGTTTAGGATGCCTGAGGTCTGAGGTCTTATTTGATTATCTCATTCACTGCCATAATCTAGTGTTTAGTACAGAGTAGGCAATTTCTTGATCACTACTTAACAAATGGAGGCATTCTTAGCATTGAGTTCTATTAAAGTAAGAGCCACCTTCTACCTCTGAATCCTTCACTTTGCCTCTCTCCCTTTATAATGTAATAAATGAGCACCCAAAACATATTTCAAATGGGAATGACTGCTAACACAGGGGAAATCCTTGCATTGTCAGAATAGTAGATTCAGCAACCATTCAGTTCTAGCCTAACTCTAAAATTAGAAAGTCATCCATTTCCTTTTTTTTTCATATGCACCTGTATGTTTATTATGCAACACCATTTACTCCAAGAAGCAGGTGTTCTGACTAGAATCCTTTGATTAATCAAATATTTTCCCTCTCTTCCCTGTTTACCACTTGGTGGTGTATAGAAACAGGTCCTCTTTACCTGAGCATGGGCCTATTTACAACTGTCCACTGTACATGGATCCCAGGTACAAATCTGGGAGCAATCTTCAAGAAGTTCATCTTAGAAGTCACAACTCCCTAGGAGGATCTCCCTGCCTAGATTTCTATAGCTAACGGAAATCCAGCAGTACTTATCACTCGAGGCCCTGAGATGTTTACGGTACTATAAATTTCAGGCACAGTTTCAAGTTCTCTGCGGCAGAAGGCAGGCTTTTCTGTGCACTGCGCACTGTCGATTCTGTTCTTAATTTAACACGCTCTGCACACTGTGATTATGATAGTGGTAAATTCACTGAGGCAAGGGCCAAGAAGGGCTGCATATGGATATGAAGGGTTCTCTGGCATCTTTGTACAAACTTGCCACGATGATGATGGTGGTGGCACGGGAGTTCCTCTGACTCCAACCTCATGTATCTGGCAGGAGTTGAAATGAATAATAAAGCAGGGTTTGTGATTAGAGAGAACACCAGAGCAGGGAGCAGTTAGAGGGGGAAGCTGTCTTATTTTAGAAAGCATGATGACTTTTTTTAAAAATGTGAATCCTATATTACCCTTTGCTAAGAATTGATGGTGTTTTTGTTTTTGTTTTTAAGAAAGCAAACAATTAAGGGAGCTCATTTAATCTAAAATGGCAATCAGAAGCTGATTTTTAGGTGATAGGGTCCAATGAAGACCAGAAAGAAAGGTTGACAGAAATGTTCCCAGCCTCTGCTACTGCTCCAGAAGAACCTGCAGGTTCCTGCTCCTATGTGTGGGTACCTTGGCCCTACTTGGTGGAGAATATTGACAAGCTGCATGCTGCTTCCCCTTCTGCCTCTGTGCAGGACAGCTTCTGACATCCTAAGCTGGACAGAGTGTCACTCTACAGACAGAGAGATAGTAGCTACTAAAAGAAGCCAGAGGACATAAGTTTGTATATTGTTTTGCTAGGAAAGCAAACCTAACTAATGTCGTGGATGGGAAGGATCATTGGATTTCAGGTAACAGGTAACACATCCCCTCCACCCCAGGCTCTGCTCTGCCCTCATACATGCTTGACCTGGGAGAAGTGGGGAAGGGTGAAGGTGGCTGGATGGCTGTGATAATCCTCATGCTGAACTTTCCATGAATAAAATCCAGAGCTAGGCACAGAGGCTTGGGGTTGGGGGGATGAGGGAGGGTTAATTGGTCAACCCAAACAAGTGACAGCCACATGCAAACTGCTTTTGTAGGTCTGGGGAGGGCAAGGCCACGTGATGCCCATCACACAGCCCTGCAGGACTGCCCCTCGTTTCACAAGAGCAGGTTTCTAATGCACGATCTAGCCCCACCCCTTCTTCACAGGCAGCTGTACTTGGAAGCAAATGATTTAGTGTTCCTGAGAGAGGATTGTACAAAGAGAGTACTCATTAGAGGGGGCTCAATCTGTCAGGTGCTGTTATATTAGGATCAGAGAGTCATCATAAAATGACTTTCGCGCTGGTCTTGGCTGATAATTAACTGTATGGCATCGCCTGTGTGTTGTGGGGAAGCACGGGTGCTGATTTATGCATCAGTTTAATTATCTGAACTGAAAGACTGTTCCCTGTAGTTGCATCCACTGCCTGCCTGCTTTCTCTCTCCCCCATATTTCTGACATTTGGATTTTCCCCCTACTAATTGACATGCCTGTCGCCTCCTTCTCCTGGTGTCCATTTCTGGAACTGCTATTTGTATATTGCATGATATTTTATCAGGGAAAAAAATAAAACTGAGATCCAATTTCATGAAAATGCTGTTGCCATAATGCTCAGGAGGACAGGGGGAAGAGAGAGAGTCAAGTCTTCCTAATGTCTACCTCATATGCAGGTACATTTTACAGGTTCTATTGTATTCTGACTGATTAAGCAGTGCATATTTTTTTTTCTTTTACATTAGCTTTCATTGCAGAAGGGGGTGGGGAGAATGAGCTGGATAGAAGCTGACATGGAATTACTGTTTATCAGGACTGTCGGTTTCAGAAATCTATGACAACCCTTAGATTTCTTAGGGATGAAAAAATACAATAAATAGTCAATTTGTTATATTCCCTCTATGTCTATATTATCTGAGGGAGATTGCTGTACTGCAGTGTCGCTCTCAGGATGCCCCCAATCTGCAAATCTCTACGCATAACAATTTGAAAAATGGAAGAAGGTTGTCTAAGGCTGGGATGTTTAGGATCAATTTCTAATCAGTTTCAGGTTTGACTTAAATATCTGGTGCTGGAAAATCCTGAAATGGAAGCCTCCCATAATGCTTCGTGAGCAGGTATGACATGAGTTTGTATAGGTGTGCCCTGAGTTCCTACACTGTTTTCTAGCTATCCAGATATAGCTAGTTGCTTTGCTAACCTTTCATTACCTACTCTCTGATAATTTTCTTTTCATCTTCTGTGCTATTTTTTTTCCCTCCCAAAGCTGGTGAGCAAGGTTTGTATCACAGCCTGCTCTGCCTGAGTAATTCACTAAGAAAGTCCCACGCAAACCCATGTGGGTGATAATATCTCATCACTGAAACCCCTGTGAGCTTGGTGGACACATCCCAAAGGGAGAGAAAAATGGTGCAGAAAACTGTGATCAATTTTGCACCTTACAGAGAATACCTTTGAAATGTTGCCTGGTGGGAGGGCTGGATGGAGGAAAGACTGCGTAAGCTGGAAGGAAAGGTGTTTGTAACACATTCTCCTTTGCTTTCAGAATTTTTCAATAACTCAATCATGAAGGCATGCCAAGGGTTAAGCTGGTGAGCCCCCTTGTTGTTCCCTTCCCCCACCTTAGAATGCAAAACGCTGCTCATCCAAAAGTCCAGCATCTCAGATTTGTGGGTGTCTGAACACTTCCAATTAAATAAGCAATACACACATGCAGTGTTTCGGTTTTGTTTTGTTTTGTTTTGCTCACCAGGGTCCTGCGTAAAGTATGCTGCCCTTTTATATATGGGTAATAATTATGTCTCTAATGTTAATGTGGAAAGCCTTGCTGTTTATAGAGCTTATTTAACTCACCATGGGGGGAGGAAAGCCTTGCTGTAAAAAGCGTCTGTTACTTTAATTTTCCATTCTTCATCAAGGTTTCCCTGTGCCTAGATATGGCATAGTCAATGGCAGAGCATAGAGAGCTGCCATTTACAGCGTGTGTGTTCTCTAAGCACTAACTTTGCATCTGGACTGCTTCCAGGAGTTTCTGCAAAAGGCAGCAAGCAGGGTATTTAAGGGTTATTCCTCCTTTGACCTACAGTAGAGGATCCTGCCTGTAGAAGAACTATAGGTTTGGTTGTAAGTTATCTTGACTGACTGCTTTTACTTTTTAGTCTCAATTTCTCTCCTTGGAATCCACATATTGTAAATGTTCAGTTGTAAATGTTCAGTTACAAACATTCATTGCGTATGACTCTTCCACTTAAGTGGTAATAAGAAGGTTAAATATTGTGGGATATTGATGAGGGGGTCTTAGCTTCCTAAAAAAAAAAAAAATTCTCAAGGGTCAACCTACCGTATTTTAGAGATTTCTAAAGTCCCTGAGAACTTTTACACTTTTGGTTTTGAACCCAAGAACCAATCGAGTATGAAGAATTCTGTACTACATACAGCTAAAGAGATCATGCTGAAGTATTTTTTAGCAGAAGAAGGGGCCAAGATAAATAAGTATTTTCAAGGAAAGTGCCTGGGAAGGCATTACTCCAATTCTTCAAATGTAAAACCTGAATTTCTACCCTGACATCTCCCCCCACCCCCATTCCTGCTCACCTACTGCACAGGCCGAAAACCACTGTTAATCTCTTCCACATCTTCCCCCCCCTCCATTCCTCTCCACACCCCCAGTTCGCATCCTCAGCAGCTGAACACCATGTTCCTACCAGGCGTTAAATAAATAGCCTTTTTCCTCCCTTTTCGAAGTCACTTGTCATTTGTCGCTGGTGAGAAGTGTTGATAAGTCAGGCAAACCAGGCAACAGAATCAGGGGAGATGGAAGATGTTTTTGTAAAACTCAGACGACCGTATTAGGGAGAGACTCGTGAGCAAATCAGTATCGTTGATGATTCATGGTCACATTTCTCCATGCTCTGCTTTGTTTGCTTTTGAAATTTATCACTCGTCTGCCTTCCATAGAGCTCCGGAATGTTCACATGTATCACTAGCATTCCCATTTCCTCGCCTTCTGTCTCTTTTAATGTATTACAGGTAGTCGTGTTTCTCCCATCTCATAAAATCCTAACTTTTTCAGCAGGATGAGAAGGGACAGGAAGTAATTGATAATCACCAAGATTAGGGTGCTACAGACTGGGGCTTCCAGTAGGCGCGACTGCCTTTCCCAGATGAACAGATGAAGACCAAAAGTCTTTGGAATGCGCCCTCTTGTGGCCAATCTTTCCCCATTATTCCGAGAAGAAAGTGTGTAACTCCTAAAGGTTCAGAGGTTCAAGCAGAGGAGTGATTCACAGGACAGCTCAGAAGACAGGTGGGGAATGGAAGGTTGGGAGTCAACTCCACTTTGAGATGTCTTTCCTGGGGTGGTGCTAGGGAAAATAGTCACCAAGGAAACCTGGGAAGACACCTGTTTGAGCAGTGTACACTTCTAACTCAAATCTACTGTAAGTGGCATCCTCCAAGAGGGGAAATTTATGTGCTGCTTTCAACAATGCCTATGCTAGGGGAGCATTATCCATTTCTTGATGTATCTTTTGTCTTTCCCCATCTTTCTAAAATAAGCGCTCTCAATTGCTAAGTTAATCATGAGAATCAGCATCTAGGTTTGGCAGCCTGTGGAAACCCAAGGGTATATTGTTATTGTATGTTGACTGACAGGCTACTGTCATGAATCAAGAGAAAGCAAAATGAGATATACCAAGCAAAAAGGTCTCTGCTTTAGTTTCATTGACAAAGTGGTAGTTGGCTTCATTTTACTCATCCCTACTGCCTTCCCTTCGAAGCCAGGACTTATATAAACATTGAGGATTTGGGGCCAGCCCTGCAAAGAACACACTAGCTTTGGGGAGCAATCCTGGGTGATAGCCATAATAAGAAAATCATTCTTATTTGTTGGGATAAATTTCAGAAAGCCTTAGAATGATCTCGCTGTTTAGCCAATAAGTCACATCATTTTTGAAAAGCTGAGCACAATGGAACAAATTCAGTTAAAAGAGTTCAAGGCACCTTCAGCTTTGTGATCTCTCCACTGCAGTGGTCATGCCTTGGCTTTATTAAACAATCAGGGGGGGAAAAGGCCAAAATTAAATATGCCTCCCAAGACTGAGGAATATTGAGGTTGAAAGACATATCTATGGCACGCTCAAGGGTGACACTTATGTCTGAATTTTATTCTGTCCAAATAGTTATAAAGAAAAGTAAAGTGCATGCCCTCTTTATTCTCTAAGAACCAGGACATTCCACATAGTCGGAATGTCATTAAAGTTGTATTATTCCAAAAGCAACAAGACATAGATCTTTGCCCATCATTTTTATATATTCACTACAAGTATTCAAATGACAAATGTGTTTCTTGGGTAGGCAAAATTGGCAACAAAATGCTTGCATGGTACGGTTTAGAGAATAGCAATATAAATTGCTATATTTCATATAGCAATCATAAAATCTGTGAAATTATATTAAATCAACTTGAAGTTGATGTCTATAACTTCTCAGAAGAGAAAAGTAAGCAATTGTACTAAGCCCTCCTGTAAGAATGCAAAGTCAAGATGTAAACTCAACCAGGAGAAGTTTCCCATTACAAACCTTAAACTTTAGTCAACATAAACTGCCTTTTTAAAAAGTAGCTCATTTTCTCCCAAACTAAACCCCAAACAGAGAAGTAAAAAATGACAAGATCCTATATAACTGAGAGATCGATTAGCACTGAGTCGAGGGCCATAAGTAAGAAAGAATGTAAATGGTACGATTCTTTCGCTGCCAAATCTCTAAATGCCAAGAGAGTGCTTTTCTGTACAAGTCCAGTAAGTCAGAAGGAGAGACATATTGCTAGCATGTACAGTTAAAAGTGATCAGAAGCATGGGTGTACTTAGCCTATCTGGTTAGAGCCAAGTGAGTAGAAGCTGCACCAAAGGCCGTCAGAGGTGGAGGTTGGCATATAAAAACCAACCTGGGTCCCTTCATACACAGCAAACCTCTAGACCACTGGAATTCATTCTACTGGCACAGCCCAATGTCACAGTATTTTCTTTCCTTCATTTCCACAAGAAAAGCTTGAGGAAAATCAGGTGGTTAACTTGAAAACTCCAACCTGACTTTTTTCTCAATAAGTTTCAGAAGATAAAGTCACAATGCTTTGGGGGGGCTGCATCCAAAAAGAACTTTCAGGAAGTAAGTTGGATCTTCCTTAAACCACAGAGGCTTCAGGGGAGAGATCTAACCTGCCCAGGAAGCTTAGGGCCACTGAGGCTTCTTCCACAGGGGGAAACCATGAAACATGCAGGCTATCCTTTCCCCCAAAAGGATGCTCTGGTCTCCCATGGCTTTCTTGAAAACAGAACATCTGAGTCAACAGGTTTTCAGGATTGGAAATTCTGAGTGTTGCCTTAATTGTTTATACTGCTGCGGCAAACTTTTAAACAAAATGCTGGGAGTCCCTGCACATACTTTACTGGCCATATGCTCTACCAAACAAAACAATGGCATTCCTTTCAAACGGATTTGGCAAGCGAGCTGATTCTTTAGCCTGGCATTACCATGAAAGCAACATGGTATTAACACATCTGTGTGCCCAGCGTGCAGGGGCTTGTAGGCATGCAAAAAGATCTGTGTCCTGTAACTATAAAAATAGCTTGGCTCCAAGTCCACCACCCATAGTTTTGACAGGTATTTTCAATTCAGCAACAGGTTACTGTGGTCTTGGGCCAACAATTAGAATCTATTTATTAAAGTTCTTCCTCTTAAGGATAGAGTGAGAGTTCACTGTAGTATCTGAGAGCACTTTGTCAAGGTTGCATTCCTTGGCAGAGAGTTCCTGGTAACTTTACAAAGAACAAAACTGGGTTTTTTGGGATTTTCTTTTGGCTTTTTTTTTTTTTTTTTTTACAGAGAGCAAAAGTCAGTGCTCCAAAAGTGACTGCTGGTTCATTGTCAACTGTCCACTAAAGTAGCTTTTTACTGCCTAGTATGTGCTGTGCACTTGCAGACAGTTTCTAAAGGTAAAAATGACTGTCACTAGTATGTATGTCCTGTGTCTCTCATGTGGCCCCAGATTGGACTTTCAAAGGAAAGGTGTGTTTTAGGTAATGACTTTATCTATGCCAATCTACTCTGATCCCCTGCACTCTCGCATCCCACCCCCAATAAAAACTTTGGATGAGGACCTGAAGACAACTCTGTTTCCCCTAGCACCCGAAAATGCCCAGCTTTCATCTGACTGCTCAGATCTGGTTTCATAGGCAGGGCGAGGGAGCCCCTCTCAGATTGGCTTCTAGCTCCAGATTGGCCCAAGAGCTTCCTCCCTGTGTGACCGGCTGAGTTTAGCAAGTGTAAGCTAGTCATCTCCAGGCAGAGCTCACCCGATAATTCCATTTCTGTGGAGTCCTCTCCCACTCCTCCCCGTCTGCTACCTAACAACTAATAACCTTCCCAGGCAGTTTCCAGCGGGAGAGAAAAGAAGTTCCTCCTAGGACTGCAAAAGAAATATATTTTACTGCCCCCGCCCTCACTCCCCCACCCCCACCCCCCGCAAATGCCAGCACCAACCTGATTCCGCAAACGTGATGATCTCCGAAGTCTGCTCCATAAGTTCATTCATTTCTGCCCTCCTTCCAATGTCGTCCTCAATCTCCACATACCCGTTCTCCCCCACTTTGCCCACATGAAGCTTTCTGATCGCGTTCAGAAGCGCCGCCTTGGGCACCGGCTGGGTGACATCGGGTCTCTTCTTCAAATGCAGCATGTTTAAAATGTGCTTCTTTACGGCCTCCACCATCTCTGGCTGAGAGTTGGGTACATCCTTTGGGAGGGTGGCCAGCGCACAGGACGGACAGTCGGGGGCTGCGCTGTGCCCCTCGGATCCTGGGGTGGGGGAACTCCTCACTATAATCCAGCAACTTGCCCACAGAAATCCTCTCAGCCAAAGCAAGGGCATCCTGGCAGGAAAAGTTGTTGTGATTGCCTTTTTTTTAAAAAGGCCCTGTTTTTCCTCCCCCCTCACGCACAGGTTTTTTGGATTTTTTTTTTCCTTCTCCTCTTCAGCAAATTCTCTGGAACAAGAGCAAAAAGTTTTCTGTGAAGTTTTGTTTGCAGGTTCCCTCTCTGAATGCAGTCAGTGCTGTAGGTTTGTGGCTGTCAGGGAGGAGAGTTCTGACTGTCTCCGAGTAAAAGAGAAGGAAGGAGGGAGGGAGGGAGAGAGGGAGGGAGGGAGAGAGGGAGGGAGGGAGGGAGGGAGAGACAGGGTGGGGGGGAGACAGAGACAGAGAGAGGATGGGAGGGAGAGAGACAGAGAGAGAGGAGAGAGGGGGACAGAAGAGAGAGGGAAAGGGGGGGAAAGGGAGAGAGAGGGAGAGAGAGAGAGAGAGAGAGAGAGGGAGAGAGGGAGAGAGAGAGAGAGAGAGAGAGAGAGAGAGAGAGAACGATTGGCCCTAAGTGAGTGAGTGAATGGGAGAGGGAGGGAGTTTGTCTGTGAGTAAAGGCTGTGATTAGGGAGGGAGGGAGGGACAGCCCGTTTTTCTGACAGGCTGCTTTCCTTCTGCTCGTTGCTCCCTCTCACACACCTCTCTTCAAATATCACCATTCTCGGGGGTTCTACGTTCCCTCTACAATAAATTCTCCTCATTTTGTTCACTTCTTCTTATTATCTTTTTTTTTTTTTCTTTCTTTCTTTCTCAGCCTAGTCCCCTTGCTTCACCTTCTTCCTTTTTTGGAGGGGGAAAAAAAAAACCCAACCAAAGGCACTATCTCAATCCACAGGGATAGTTTGATTGGAAAAGTCTGCCCCTGCAGCCCCTCCACTCCACCTCCACTGCCCTGGGTGATGACCCACCCACCTGGCTGAGGTGGGGCTGACAGGTAGCAGAGGTCGGGGAGAGGGGCCCAGGGGCGTGCTACTGTGTGTTCTGCCCCAGGGAATCCAGAGTGGCTCCTTTTCCCCCATTCATTCATATTTAAATGTTTAGGGTCTTCAACCCCAGGCTGGCGATCTGAGGGAGCGCAACAGAACTTTTGTTTGGGGCCATAGAACATACTTTACTTTTCCCAACTGGGCAATGTAGCAGGGCACAGAAAGAGCCAAAGGACAGGCAGCACTTAACATGTCTAAGTTCTAAGAAGCACTTTTCTCTCTCCTCTCTCTTGCTGCCCCGTTTCACAAATTACAGCCTACCACCTCTTGCCCCGACTTCACAGATAAAACACAAAATTCATTTGGCCTTTCCCACATTCTTTCATAAAAAGAGTGTACAGTATGACGTGAATAACTGGCCCTATGGGGAAAGAATCTCTAAAATATATTGGCAAATTATTTTTCTCTGTCATGTGATAGTTTTTTCAGCTTGTCCCCTGCCCAGTCCTGACCAGTACATTCATGGAGAGACTCCTCCACTGCTCTCTTTTCCCTCAAAGGAACAGCCTAGATGAAATCATCATGGATTTTAGTGCTCACAGAAAAAGAAAAATGTGCATGTTTAAACAATGCCTTTCTGAGGCTTTTTTTTACCCCCCCCAACTCCTTTTTTTCATTTTCTGTCTTATTGCTTTTATCTTGCAGAAGTATCTTTAAGGGGTCCATCTGTTAAAGCTTTCCCTCCTTCTCGGTTTCTTTCCCACACATAAACCCTCTTGGTTTCTGTAGATACAGTCAGCTTATATCTGACACCTAGTGTGTTCAGAGCATTCTAGTCAAGCAAGGTAGCTTGGCTGGAAAAGAGTTAATAAGTATTACTTCACACATAAGATCTGAGTACAAGGGGGAGATAACGATAAAATTGTGACACTAAGTTAAAATTACAGTTTGCAGAGGTAACAGTGCTTTTCTGAATTGCACAGGCTGTCCCCTTTTCAAAAACAACTATTTGCAAGACTTTCTCTGTAGTAGGCTCTCTAACATCTTTGGGGTTTCAGCTCCAGGAACATTAATTGCTCTGCTATTGGGGATAAGACTTTGTCCACATTACCTAGAAGTCTCATGTTTTTTAGCAGGAGATGGTGAAAAGATGAGGGAAGAGGGGGTATTTGCATTATAATGGTTTAATAAAACATCATTGTAGTCTAATATTTAACATTGCCCACCTATTTGGAGTCACAGATACAGTACCCAAAGCCTGTTGCAGCCCAATTAAGTTTTACAAGAGAGTCTGAAATAGAACTAAAAGTTTAATGACTCCAAACAACTCAAGAGACCTAATAGTAGCATTTAGATAAGTGCAACTTATCAATATTTGGATTCTCTCTGCATGTGAGTATGTGTGTGTTCCCTGAATTTACTGTTTGCAAATGTAACTCTTAAAAATAGCTTTCTCTTTGGCATATGTACTTGTATATATGTGCTGAGTGGGTTGTATAAACACATAATCTATTTGCATGCTCTAGGACTGTTAAAAGCTGTATTAACCTGCCTGAATAGAAAAAAAATTTTAAAAGGTACAGATTACAATGCCCAGGGAAGTGCCAATAAGTTGTAAAATTCTTCCTATCCATTCTGACTCAGAATGTGCAAAGAGCTCATAAGTAAGAAGGAAAAAGCATTACCTTTCTGGTCCCTTCTCTCTCACCAGCCGGCTCTTGTATCATGTGGTAAGAGCTGTCTGAGTTCCTCTTCATGGTATTGGCACTGTGAAGTTTTATACTGTACTACTTATTTGTACACTCACACATTGGTACCACTCGAACAGAGGAGGGCTGGGGCTTTGTTTGGGATTGGTTAGAATCAGAATGACATCAGCAGATGACTGGTTTTTCCAGTGTGAGACATTTCATAATTCATTATCTAATGGAAATCCCTCTTGGCTTCTGAGACACTACTAGGGTGATGCACTGAGCCAGTGAAACCTCTGGCTGTGACTAGTCTACCTTTTACAAAAATATTGGAATTAAATAGATCTCAACAAATGTCCAACTTTCAACTTTTACTACTCATACACACATGTCTCGTTATATTCAGGTTCAGTTTTATGTCTTTACATAAAACATCTGTTACTTTGTGAGGTTGTTTCTATTTACAGAGTATTTTATTGTCTTTTACAGGAAGAAAATTCACAGTGTTCTTTATAGGTATTGTAATTTAATTTTTTAAAAATAGCTATTTCATTGAGGGAAAATATGTATACCCATACGATGATGGTCTTGCCTCCCCTGACCCGCACTATTATTTTACATCTTGAAATTGAATGCCTGCTTCATAAATCATTTATCACCAAGAACTTGGGAAATATTCATTCTCTGCAAATGAACTTCATAAGTATCCTTCCCAGGTCTTTAGAATCCCATTCTAACTAGGGAAAAAAAAAAATCACACATCTTTTTTTTTTTTTAACCAGAACTTCAAGTCCTATGATTTCTAAATTGTTACAAATATAAAATGAGATTAATGAAAAGAGGCAAATGCTCCTTGAAACAGGGGTAAAGTTAGGTTTGGGAGGAAGGGCACTGGCAAGTCTCAAAAATAACACAGGAGGGGGGGAATCCTCAGACAAGTCTGATGGAGAAGGGTTGTTTGAAGGAGTATAACTGAAGCACAAGCAGGGTTCCCATGACAAGTTGGATAAAATGTGCAAAATTGGGAGCTAATGAAAGCCATATGACCTGATATGTTGTTTTGTATGCAGGATTTAACATGCATAAAATAAACTTTTCACTGTGCCCACAAGCAAAATATAGAGGCTCTGGCCTCCTGATGTGTGTCTGAAGCAGGTTCCTTTAGGACACCAGGAGTTTTCTGTGTGAGGGTCTCTCTTGGCTAGATACAGAGAAAGTGTGGGTGCTAGCTGTATGTGGAGGAGGAGGGGAGAAAAGTATTCTAAGAACTGCATATGCAGAACTGAAGTAGGAAATAAAGTCATTCGGTTGTAGAGGAAGAGAGGGGATCTGAGTGGCAATGACAGAAACAGGATCAATGATGATGAATTCCACGTCTGCCCTTCAGTGTAGAGTGGGATGAACTGAAACCCCTTATAAGAAAGGAACTTCCCCATTTTGGTGGGAGGGGGAGGTGATACTGAGTAGAGATCAATGGCATCCAGTGCATCTAAGCTCACCCCCTGGCAGATGCATGAATCCTGTTGTGCTAAGTACCACCATACCCCCCCCCCCCAAAAAAAAAAAAATAGTGTGGAGGCCCGAGAGGAACCCAGATCAGACCGCAGTTCCAATGCTCCCTCATCAGGTAAACTCAGGCCTTAGCGTTCCCATCTATGAAATGGGATTCATATTACTAAACTGCAGGGTCAAGCCCAGTGCTCAGAAAATAATAAGTGATGTTCTCAATAAGACTGGAGGTTCATTTGAAACATCTGTGTCATAGGACCCTGAGGCCATGCCATATATGTGGCTCTGAAACCACCTTGGCCATCTAATGCCACCTAGCAGCTCTGATGTCATCCTCTACCTGGATCCCAACCTCAGAGCTAAACCACAGTGGAAAAGCCTCCTCACTCAGTACAAATCAAGGTGGGGGTGGTAGTGGAAGCAGGCAGGTTAAAATAGCTTCTGTGGAATATTCTGGACTAGGAATTAGCTTTTCCCTGCCAAACTCAAGGGCCCAGGGCATGAGCTGGACAGCTCAGTTCCTGACAAGAATCTCCTTTTCCTTCCTCGGTTTGGTTTCTCTTTCACTTCCTGCCCCCTCCCCCAGAGTTTCCCCACACCCCAGGCCCTTCGGGTCCCGGCTTCTCGGCCCTGCTACTGTACCTTGAGCAACACCTGCTGGCAGCTTCCAGGGATCACGCCGGAACGCGCTGCTCGAGCCCAGCTCGCGGGATGCCTGGAGTCAGGGCCAAGCCGTTCCAAGCGGCCGCCTCTATTTTTACCCTGAGCACCAGCAAGGGCAACTTCTTTTAAGAGCAGCTCTTGATTTTTCCCCCCTTTTGGCAGCTAAAGAATTCAGGGAGGAAAAAAAAAATCACTGTTCAGTGAGTGCAGCTGGGAATCTCTGAACCCAGCCCTCAGTGCCAGGGACTGTAACCACAGCAAATGTCAGGGACCAAGACCTGCAGTGGGGCCGGCGGGCTCCCCAGCGGACAGAGGCGAGCTGGGGAGCGCTCACGCACCCGCACCCGCACCCGCAAACTGGCCCCTTTCTCAGTGTGGAGTTCGGTCCTAGCAGCTACTGCACTAGCAGAGTGGCCCGCTGCCACCGCGTTATTCACCTAGCGGAGGCGGTCTGATTTACTGGCTACTTCACAAAGCTCCCAACTCCACGCTGGAGCATTTGCATGGCTCTGTGCTCGCCTCGAAGAGCAGCCACTAGCGAACCCGGTGGAGCAGCTTGCTGCGAGAAGGAGCCGGGAGGGAAACTGGTACCTTATTTTACTGTAATTGCAAAAGGAAAGATGTGCCAGAGATTTATATTTAGAAGTTGTATGTTTCTACTTTTATGTAAATGGAGCAATTAGGGCCTGTCTTGCTGCTGCTAACTCCAATGCTTGTGCATTGCTGGGGAGCTGGTGTTTTCAATCACAATTAGCGAGCTGGTCAAAAAACAAAGTTCGTTTGAGGATAAGAGCTCAATTGTGTGCATGGGGGAGAGACCTGCATCCCGGTGCTGGCCTGTGGCTTGCGGTGGGTGACACATACCTTAGGGGCATGGCTAACCCTGTACTGTAGTGGTGTTTACCCGTGGCAGCAGCTGTCCCCATACAAAGTTGGCATAGATCAAGAAGCAAGAATGTTCACTTTTCTTCTTAAGCAAACCGTATGTCCTTCGGCTTCCATCCAGGCTATTAATTGGTCTCTTTCCTCACTACTCCTGGAACAAGGAGACAGGCCTGGAAAAGGGGGGCATTTTTCATGGCCCTGTTATTTTAGCTGCTGCTCACGGATTGCTGTGATTCAGTCAAAAAAAAAAAAAAAAAATGCAAGCCAGGAGATGTGAACACCCCAAGCAGGTGACTGGGAAGTTGTCCTCTGATTCAGCTAAATGACACAAGGCTGGGGGTTCAGAGGCTGCTGACGAGTCAGGGTGTTTTAGTTCCTTCCTATGGAAAAATCTGTTTCCAAAGAAGCATGATTTCTGCTTCATCCCGTCTGGGAAACTGAACATAAAACGTGACTATGGAGAGAAATCAAAAGGACTGGCGAGGTGTTCTTAGCAGCTGAGTTATTCTGGGCTCAGGCAGGAAAACCTGGCCTGGTTGGTGAGTGGTGACTCCCTCAGAGAAGCAGCGCAGTATCCAGAAAACGTGGGGAGGATCCAGAATGGTATTTGCTGCAGTAGATTGCAGGAGTTGGTGCCTAAGGGTTTCATCAAATAGTTTAAATTGAATATGGGACTGGCAAACCCTGCCTGTTTCCTGGACAGTGTGCCTGAACATAGCTTGGGCTGAATGTTAGGAAGAAAGATTTGGGACAAAGATGGATTAGCATTTCACAGTCAAAATTAAACTGGGAAGCTGTTTTGCCTTTAACTTAAATCACTGAATGAATAGTTGAAAACCAGGAGAGAAGGAAATGTTAAAATTCCTTCCAAATCCATCCAGAACAAGAAGGTTAGAAATGGTTAATCCAAAACTCAGTTCCTAAGCCTCACATTTTTTTCTCAGAATCACCAGAATATCCCACAAGGCCTTGTGTTCTGTAAGAGCACCTATTCTCAAAGTATTTGGGAATGCATTTGTCTGAAGGGTCTGGGGCAGGGAGGGTTAGAGAGGATGTACCAGATGCTCAAACTAAAACAATTAGGAAAAGAAAAAAGAACAACTATCCAATAAGTAAACTGTTATTCTTCATCCCAGAGTAGTGGTTTCCTACTGGGTGATTTTGCTCCCCAGCAGACATTTGACAACATTGGAAGGCATTTTTGGTTCTCACAACTGGTAGGGAGGTGCTACTGGCATCTAGTGGGTAGAGGCCAGGGATGCTGCTAAACATTCTGCATTGCACAGAACAGTTCCCACAACAGAGGAATGATCTGGCCCAAATGTCAATTGTTCTGCAGTTGAGAAATCCTGATTTAGAGTGATAAAGTTTTATCTAATTTCCTTTCCATCCATGCTGCAAGAGGTTTTGGAAATCCAACTTGTAACACTCAAAAATATTACAGCTATGCAAAATATTAATAGTTCAAGTGATTCTGCTTTCTCAAGCAAGTGTGCTGTCTGACCTCTGGAAACCCACACCAGACTACCAATACCAGAGTTCCTCACCGCACATTGTTAATCCAACCAACTTTCTTGTATGGCCTCAAATGCATTTCCTGCTTTGGTTAAAAACCCCAAGTAGGATCTTGGTGATCAGCAACAAAGTAAGATGAGCTGGCCCACTCCTAAGTTGTTAGGAGGCAACGGACTCATGAAAAAGAGTAAATGAATGGAGAATTGGTTGTTCATTTTATCAATTCAGTATCAGATAAATCCATGCAACAGAGAATTCCCTGAAGTCAAATTCACAAGCACGAGACTACCATGCCTTTCTCTCAATCAAATAAATAAATATAAAAAAACCAACAAAATAAATATATATGATATAGCTTGATTTTATTTGTTTAATACCTTAGGGGAATGACAGACAATCAATATCTGAAGAGATAAAGCAGAGGGCTTGGCTAAATCCTAATGCTTGTTCCAAGGAACATTATATTCTCTAACCTTCCTTTTCATAAGGAAGTGGTGGGTTTTAAAGGAAAGCCATGCTCCTCCAGGTGTTGCTCTCCTGAGAGGACTGGGAAGATATAGAGAAGAATCCTTCATCACAGAAAATAATAATAACCAACAAATGGTGAAACTCACAAAAGGGAAGTTTCCTGGATCAAACTAGCTTTCATGTGAAATGCTATTGTGCAGCTGACGAGGACTAACTTCCCTGGTTCATGGCTTAGCTCCTGAGTAACTTGGGTCATGCAGAAAGGAGAAGGTAGGTCAGAGTTCATTTTAAGATGAAGAGAGCCACAAGGGGAACATCTTAGATACTCCGACGCTTTGTCATCTCCTCCAAGATATGATTCACAGTCTCCTCAGGTAAATGGTCATTTTGGAACCAAAGGCTTCAATCAACTTCCATATGATTCAGAAATGCCTGGATTTCTTCCCAAGAAGCAACCATTTAGTACATACGAAAAACTCAATATTGAGTAAAATAATCAATAATCACTTACAATCTCTATAGAGAATTATATATTGAATAAAAGCCACACACACACAAACACACCCCCTCACACACACACACACACACACACACTAACTTCAACTGAATAAAAATGCTCTCAAAGTTCTTCTTAACCAACATGTATTTCTAAATTGTTTGTCATAACTCACTTCTAACCCAATCAGGAAACATCTGCTACAGCAATTGATCTTCTTATTTCCCCAGAAGACTATTGAAAAATACTCCCCAAGGAACATATAACAGATTGTCATAATCATTTTTCTCACCTGGATCCCCTCGGGTAATAAGCTCCATGTTGATGATTTGAGAACACAGAGGTTTAGCATATAGATTCCATTGGATTGATAAGAGCAGAGATCTTGATTTTAATCCAGTTTTGCTTATCCACAAAGATACCCCCACGACCTCTTCCCAAATTATAGCTTTGGAGGGCAAAAGCCAACGGAAAAGCCTGAGTGCCGCCCTGTGTGTGTGTGTGTGTGTGTGTGTGTGTGTGTGTGTGTGTTTTATCAGTATGCCGCCTCCCTCATGTCCTAATAGAGTCCAAAGGTCCTACCCCTCTGTGGGAGCAGCTCACAGGCACTTCCAGGCCAGCAAGAGCAGAGTGCCACTGTCCACGGGCATTGTGTACTCTCATGAACGTACACTGACCGGGCATTCTGGCAACAGCTCAGCTCAATTAGTAAATATTTCCAGGTGTTCCACTCTAATTTTAGGAAGGTCAAGTTTGCAAAGGTGAAATAGCAAGCAGGACTTCTCTCAGCCTCAATTGACGTGGAAAAGCAAACTGTAAGTACGATATTTTGGGGGAATTTCACTGGAATCATTGAATTCTACAACTAGCCTTAAACTTTCAAGAAATAATCTGACCACAGTCCTTTGTCATAGATGGATTGAGCTGCTCTTGAAATATGGAATAGAATGATAAATGAAAGAAGAGCCATTATATTAGAAGGAAAAAAATTCCCAGCAAATCTCTCCCAAAGTCCAGGGGTTAATTCGTGATCACTTAATGAAATGGGGGAGGTAAGCCAATATATTAATTATGGCCAACTTCAACATCATTTAGTTATGAAATGAGAATAATTAAAATGGTGCTCCCTGTAGAAAAGAGTTCAACCAATAAGTTCCTCAACTTTCAAGGAGGTTTTGTTTTATTAGATGCTGCTAGCTTCATGTTAGTCACAGGGAAAAAAAAATGCCCACATACACACGCACGACTAAATGCAGTCAGTTTGCTCAGCTGCTGCTGACGTCACTGCTGCCCACTAGGAGTGAGTTACTGTAATAACCCCCTTTTATTAATCATAGGCTGGAGGAAGCACAAAGTGGGTGACATCATTAGGCAAAGGACCGGCTAACTCATGCTCCAATTTACTCAGTTTTATTATAACATTTCTCAAGTGTCATATGAAAGTGATTACCATTTCACACTTTCCCCCTCTGAGCAATCATCCCTAACCTTCAATTCAAACTCCCAGAGAAAAGCTTAGCTTTTCAGATGCAGACATGGAAGGGCCAAATCTCACTAAGGGTCCTGTTCCAGGAAGGAATGTCCTCCTACAAATAGCTTCTTGCTGAGCTTGAGATGGAGGCAGTTTCTAGAATGAGAGCATCTCAGATGACTCTGGGTTCTCTCTAATCCTGGTGGTGACATCTGATTGGAGAAGACAGCCATCATAAAGAGGACCTTGAGGGTCCAGATGGGCACTGCCTTGCGTGGCCTCATGGTCTTTGCATGGCTCTGCACACCTGGGTTTTGAAATGTAAAGACTCCATTTGTAGTTGTAGTAAAAGGTTGTGGTTAATAGTATGGGTCTTATAGTTAGATAACCTGGATTCAAATTCAAGATTCACCACTTTCAAACTGGAGGATGCTAAGTGAATAACTGTACCTCTCAGCGGCTCGGTTCCCGATGAGTAAATGCTGATAGTAATGCACCTCCCTCACAGATAGGATTGTTGTGAGGCATAAATGAATTAATACATGTAAGGCTTATAGAATGTGCCAGTAAATATTGCTCACTGGCATTATTTCTGTTCTTTTACTTAAAAAGTTTTGCTGGCTGAACTGAACTTTCTGTGTCTAGCATTGTAGTGCTCTGGAGAGATGCACACACATTCTGTGACTAGCCACCAGGGTAGACTGGTGTGG